ATCTATCTATCTATCTATCTATCTATCTATCTATCTATCTATCTATCTATCTATCTATCTATCTATCTATCGCGCTGTGTGTGTGTGTATGTGTGTGTCCCAGCATAACTTTGGAACGCCTCAAGCAATTTCAACAAAACCTGGTACACAGATGACTTATTTTCTGGAGAAAAATACTGTGGGGGATAAGAAACCTCTAACACCCTTCAGGGTGTGTATTCTGTTAAAATGGAGCTTGTTGCACCTTTAAATGGCATCTACTGTACTGCTGTAAAATAGCTTCTACTGTACAGTGCAGTGGAGTTGCCATGGTAATAGCTCCACAGTACTCCACAGTACTCTAGTAAGGGGGAAAATCCAACATCAGAAATTACATTTGGTCCCAACATTTCCCCCCTATAAATAATACCCTGGCAATGCCAGATTACCAGCTAGTATATACTAAATTCACACTGGTGAAACTCTATCCTTAAGTTAAGGTTTATCAAACAAAGGTCTCAAAAATATTGGCTCTCACTGGTACCCTAGAAATATTGGCTATATAAAACAGAAGTGGACAATGTGCAACCTTCAGAAGGCTTTTCACAATGAAAAATACTAATTTTTAGATAACTGCTAAAAGCTGTTCATTCCTTCTCTTTCTGTTGTCTTCCTGAACCAGCAAGGAGAAATGTTGAAGGGAAGAACGGAGACTGTCATTCAATGTGATTCTTTTTGCTTTGGCTTAGCCTTAATCCACCAGATTTCTCTTAGCACAATACAATGTGATTGAGACAACACAGCCATTGAGTGAAAAAGAGGCTCTTTCCCTACTTTTCTAAAACATTGCTAGAAGAGGGGACATAGATTGCTTCACTTTAACAGTTATTTAAAGAAATATAAACTGGACAGTGAAAAAGTCAGGCATTTCACCCCAAAACTAATGAAGGACATCAAGTTCTAATGCTTGAGAGCCATTAAGAAGGGAATGTAATTTGCTGAACTGAATTCTACTAATACCCATCTACTCAAATTGCCAATGGGGATTGAATTTGAGGTGGAGGCGGCGGCAGGGGTAACCCAGAGCCCAGCTGAGGTGCTCCGAGCGGAGGGGGAGGCACCGCCGCCGCTGCCATGGGCGGGAGCGCCTGCGGGAGCTTTGGAGGCTTCACCTCGGCTGCAGCGTTGGCGGCAAATCTGGCAGTGCTGTTGGAGGAGGAGGAGGTGGCAGCAGCTATTCCCCTCATCTTCCGGAACCTGTGGCAGAAATCACTCCGCGCAGTTAAAAACGGCTGCGCACCTTAGAGGGAACAGTGCTAGGATGGTCACAGTTTCCCAATTGTAACTATGGTTAAATCTATCTATACATTGTGCAGCCATTATACTTACTATATCCCCCAAACCTCAAAGCAATTCCTCTCTGGGCCCAAAAGTTTTAATTCTTAACCCTTGTTATGTCCTTGCTCCACCAAAATCTATTCCTCATTGCCCAGGGGGACAAAAAATGCAATTCCAGGATGAAAAAGGCAATCTATGCATGTTCCAAGTTAATCATTATTAATGGCCTACTGACCTCCACAATCATCTTCACTGTGGGTAAGGTTGTTGCAATGTTTTGTGGATGGGGAGGCCGAACTGTTATTGGCACACAGCCAGCATATAAACATCCATAAAATGCAGCAATCAGATCTATGCCTGGATGGGACAAAAATAGGCATGACTGGTTAGCGAGGAAGAAAGCAAAATAAGAGTAATTTCTTAGAATACCTGTATAATTCCACCTTCCCTAAACTAATGCTGTTCAGATGTGTTGGGAATACAACCTACATTGAAATGTATCTTCAATTTTATATCCACTTACCTAGAAGTAAGGATCATTGAACTCACTGGGTCTAACATCTGAACAGACATGCATAAGATTGTGTTGTTAAAAGGAGAGAGAAAGAGAAAGAAAGAAGGCATGTACAGTTTACTTCTACTGAAATGATCTGAATTCATTTGGCTTTAGATGAGCAGATTTCTCATACAATTGTGAATTTCATTTAGCTGCTGGAGGCAGAATTTGTTTCTCTAGCTCTCTCACTGAGTAAACCTATACATGAAATTCAGCTCTTTATCCCTTGTGCTTGTGAGATGGGGGATCCTTTCTTCATTGTTCCATAGCAATTCTGCTTTGGAAGTCAGTGCATTTAAGCCACTACATATTCAACATAAGCTGAAGTTGTAGGCCAATGTTTTTCAACCTTGGTAACTTTATATTTTTAACTTTAAGACAAATGGACTTCAAATCTCAGAATTTCCCATCCAGCACTGGGGAAGCATTGCTAGTTGGGGAATTATGGGAGTTGAAGTCCATACATGTTAAGTTGTCAAGATTGACAAATATTGCTCTATACTGAAGCAATTTTGGTTGAAATGAGTAACGACAAGAGGAAATAAAAAAATGTTAGACACCCCCAAATCCCATTGAGAGCTACAAGAACTGGTCTAACAACCCATACAGTGAAAGACAAACAGTGATGAAAGAGGAATGAGAAATTTTGGAGTATAATCCTACAAATTCACTGTATATAGCAATCAGAAAGAGCTATAATTGAAGCAAAAATATTTGTACTCTTCAATCTTCCAACCAATCTTCCAACCAACCTTCCAACCAACCTTCCAACCAACCTTCCAATCAACCTTCCAACCAACCAACCAACCAACCAACCAACCAACCAACCAACCAACCAACCAACCAACCAACCAACCAACCAACCTTATTTATGCATCAGTCAAGGATTTTATAGATAGAACAACATTGTTAGAGAATTGCAACTAAAGTATGCTTGTACAATTTACCTGGTGGGTAGACTAAAGCAACATGATCACCATCTTGCAAATGACCCCTTTCCATCAACATTACTGCTATCTTTTCAGCTCGCTTATGTAGCTGGACACAGGTGAGAGAATTTGCTATTGTCCCCTTCATTAAGAAAAAAAAAGTAGAGACAAAGAAGAAGAAATTTAAATATGCAGCTTTTTATTCATTAACTGAGTTATTGACCTTAGCCTCTGAAACTAGATTAGTGATATAAATGCCACATATTCATTTAATTTTAAACTGGGGGGAAAAAAACCAAAGGAAGCAAAACCTATATCTTGATTAGGTCAGTTGAAAGGTAGACTTTAGAGCTTTTTGCCTGATTAACTATAAAGTGAACTATTTTTTTCCCCAGGAAATTATAGCCACCACTGAAGAATATTTCAAAATAACCCACACTGAAATTTAGTAAGGATATAACATGAGTAACTGAGTGCTAGCTATTAGTAATCACTGTTTTCAAATGGTAAAGTGTTGCTATCCTATTTCTCTGAGAATGCTTTCTTTGGAAAAGATTAGTAAGTGGCCCAAATATTTAAGAGTTACTAATAACATTTACTTGGTC